CATTTGACATTTTGAATTGTAATAAGCAACCGTTATCGGTGCATTGGTCGAGTAACATGGGATGTCGATCTATTGTTAGGCTTCGATTTAATTCCACCTTAAATCATTCTCTTTTATCCCCGAGGAAGATCTATTTATGAAATCATTGAGCAGTGATTGTGAAATGAAATCTATGTTAAGCTCTTTTTACCTCACCAGTCACCTGTCGTCACAACAAATAGCACCATCTTTTTTCCATCCTTGAGTAACAGTTTTGTCAACAATACCATACGTTTGGCTAAAATTATTTGTAGTTCAAAGGGTTACCTTAGGGACTTAACATGAAAATTTCATCATAAAATGTGGCCTTCATTTCAATGATTTTCTGTCACCTACTGAGTGGAAACTTTCGCCTACCGAGCACTCCTAATAACTTGTCTGTCTCATTTTGTTTACAAATATATACATTGTTAGTGTCATATCTAATTGATTCCTTTGATAATACAGTCAAAACAAAAGGATGAAAAGGGAAAACAAAACAAACCTTTCGGCCGAGCGTGTGCAAGAAATATCCCTAAAGATAGCAACAGCCATTGCTTCACAAGTAAAGCCATCTTGCCTTATCTCAGATAAAAAAAACGCTCTGCTAGGCTCTTAGTCCTTCATTTCCTATCGAAAATACTGTTGCCCCCAATAATAAAATTGGTTTGATTCAAGTTACATACCAGCCAAACAACATAAGGAGCCGACATGGATCCAATACGAGCTGCGGCAGATGAAGTTCCCATTCCAACATTCCTAGGGTATAAGGAGAATGGGATAAGAAGTTAAGTAATGCGCGCAATACCCGAGCCACTTTTCTCGAGACGGTCTTTGTTCAATATGATAAACAAGAGAATTTTAAGAATCACGACATTATTCCTGTCCGAAGAAGTTGGGTTAATCATCTAACCATTCAGTCGGTAGGCCAGTGAAGGAGTCAGTTGAAAGCTCATTTAGTGAGTCAGGGCGATTTAAGTAGTCAGACATGACCGATCAGTCATGATAATTGTTTGCCGCGAGTCAGTGAACCAGTCAATTCATCAGTCCGAGTCCTTCAGTCCGTCAGTCGTCAATCCGTACGTCGGTCTGTCAATCCGTCAGTTTCCGTCCGTTAATCCGTCAGTCCGTCGGTCCGTCAATCGTCATTCAGTCAATAAATTTGTCTATTTTTCAGCAAGTAGGTTGCTGAAACAGTCAGTCATCATAAAAGTCATGCAGTGAATCAGACATTTAGCCAACCAGCCAGATAAGCTGATTGATTGAGCCTCGATTAGCCAGCGCGTAGGTCATTTTGTGAGAAAGTAAATATAGTATCGCAGCTGGGTAATCAGTCAGTCAGTCAATCAATCAGTCAGTAAGACGGTCAGTCAGTAAGACAGCCTTTCAGACCGAAAGTCAGTCAGTAAGAGAGCGAGTAAGTCAGTAAGACAGTACTTTGGTCAGTCGGTAAAGCAGTCAGTAAGACGGTGAGTCAGTCAGTAACACAATCAGTCAGTCAGTTGGTCATTAATGACCAATAGGTCGGTCAGTAATTCAGCCAGTCTCTTAGTAAGCTGGTCAGCGAGTCAGACAGACAGACAGACAGACAGACGAGATATACAGTCAATCAGTCGCTTATTGATTCACTTGTTGTTGATCTTGAAAATGGACACGAAAAAGATGAAAGATGAGAATCATATACAGGATCTTGTTGGTTGGGGGGAAGGTGGAAGATCCATATTCAAATAGCTGAGAACGAATTAGTGCGTGTGTTTACGTTTATTTCTTGCCTTAGGAAAATGGCATAATGCAGGAAAGTTTGAAATGAAGAAATACCTGACAACGGTCGGAAAGAGCTCGCTCGAGTAGACATAGATTGAACTGAACGGCATGTTGATAAAAAAACTTCGCCACTCCTTGTGCCATAATTATGTTTACTACCATGAAACCTGAAAAACAGAGCAATGATATTAAAAAAAGTATTTTGCAGCTGATGTCTTAAATAATTCAGTATGGTAATTGCTTTATCTAGGTAATGTAATGATCATTAGTTCCCCTTTTTCGGATTAATTTGTTTACAACTAACCTTCAATATGGTTTTTTTCCCAAAAAGAAGAAACTGACGACACATTACTCGATAAATTAACCAGTGATTCTTTGTATAAGCACTGATGACTGAGTACAGCTACATTCATTTTTCGTTTCCCTCAACGTAAATTGATTATTATTTTGTGACCCCATTAACAGAACTAGTGCTACAATAACTGACGATGACGTAAAGAGAGGTTTACCGGTGTTCTTCAGATCTCTCTGGAAAAAGACTGCAATCAAAGAAGCAAAGAAAGACACCACCACTCCAATAACTGTGCTTTTCTTCCGGCCAATCCTGTAACGAATGTTAGTTTAGAGGATTCATACTCACGGCTTGGATTGCCCAATACTTCGAAAGAAAATACCTCGAGAGAAAAATGACACCTCAAAAGTTTTAGATATCTCGTGTTTACGTTTTGTTGATTCAAAGAGAAAAAGGTCTATTGTACTGTTAGGTTTGGGACGAGTCGCAATCCGAATCAAACCTTCCTCCTCTTTTCGCTGTTGTCACCAATTTATGAAAACTGACCAAAGAGTAGCGTTTATTCTATCGTCAGTTTTTAATTTAAAAAAATTGGCCACGGAATCGAAAGCTAACTTGAGCAAGGTAGACAAGCTTCTTGCAAATTTGAAAGCTCAAACAGGCAATAACGAATAACGGAGGTCAATCAAACCAAATAAATAAAATGTGGTTAAAAATCGTAATAGAAAGCAGAAGCAAGGGAAGAAAGATCAAGGATCAAGTCACGCAAGCACATCGGGAGCCCGTCAAATGAGCAACTGACACGTAGGTGTGCAAACGCTTTACAGAGACGGAAACCTTCCAATGTACGAATTTTTATTCGCGTCACCCTCCAGGCGTAAAGAAAGGATTCGCAAAAGGAGCAGCGCTACGCTTTCTGAGAACCAATTTCTGGGTGTTCTTACTTTCATACTTAAACACATATGCCCTTTGTTCTATGAACAAACACATATGACTGATGCATGTATCACAGGTGTGTAGAACATATGCAGAAGCTTTCCGACCTGATTCTTCAAGTCGTGTGCATAATGTATCAGGGTGCGAACGAAGTTGGAGCCGTGAGGAATTTACCTGGAAGTGAACATGAAAGCTAGCTTCACTCTTCCTCGCTAAGAAAAAATATGTACATCTTAGAGATAAAACGGCTATGGAGACACAATATTTCGTTAGGTCTCCATATTATCTTTTCCAGCTCATTCCGTGAGCTTTTAGTTCCATAAATAAGCACTGTGGTGATAATGATATGACTAACGACAGGGAATGGCACCGCGAGGCATGGTCAGAAAATTAGTGAACATTAACGTAAAGTGAATATCTTTGGAAACCTTTTATTTCATAAGATTGCCCGGTGAGAAGTTATAGTCAAATACTTCTGAATATAGCAAGTGTCTGCTCTACAAATCAAACCAAATTTGCCAAGAGTATTACAGTGCTTTTATTGAATAATACGATTCCTAACTATTTTATTCGCACGTGTATCTACCTAAAGCGTTGTTTTGTTTGAGCTTCAATTGTTACAAATTTAACTCAGAAATAGAATCATTGCCCAACTATGATATTACTTAAGCAGTGGAGGAATTCATGCGACTATATGGATTTTAGAATTGAGCCATAACGGGATAATCAACCCATGTCAATATCTAGCAAACCGAGACCTGGGACAGAGGAACAAAACTTCAAAGATGGAGGGGAAGGGGGTCGAAATTAGTTAATAGCTGAGAGTGAATTAAGGGGAATTAGGACTATTTAGCGAATAGCCCCATATAAACACAAGGGTGGTGAGGAGAATTCGAGATAGTTTCACCATAGAAACAAGGAAACTCGAAATACTTTTACTGTATCAAGTGAGTCTCAAAATAACGTGCAAATCTAGACATAATATTTACCCTTTCCCTTATTCAAACATACTTATCGACCAAGAGGATCACACCAATTATCTCACTTATGTTATTTACACATGAAAATCAGACATAGTTTGATGCTACACTGGTTTGCAGATTTAATGAATGTAACCGAAGAAGTTACAATTCATAGACCCAACGTTTCGACACTCCTGTCTAGTGCCTTCATCAGGGGTGACCTAAACGCTGCAACAAGAGGTCCTTTAATATGATCACTAATTAGCGCACATTCACATATGAAAATATTCTAACGAGGCTCTAAGTTTGTTTTCTCAGCTGCCTGTTCTCAGTGTGGTGAGTTAAGCATCGCACACTTTCCAGATACTTTACCCCACAGTTGAAACACATAACCTTTATACCCTAACATCAGTATCCATATTCTCTGTACTCTTCTCTGGACATTTCTTCTAATACTGACAAGGAGAATTCGTTTAACAATCAAAACTGCTTAGGGTTAATTAACGATATTTTCCTTATATTTTCATCATCTAAATGAATGATATAGCAGTATTACTGTAAAAAGAAATTAGATGCTAGTCACTCTTAGGGTTTCAAGGGTTCATGGAGAATTAAAAACTGCAAAATGGGACACAATTTTTTAATGGATTTTAGAATTGAGCCATAACGGGATAATCAACCCATGTCAATATCTAGCAAACCGAGACCTGGGACAGAGGAACAAAACTTCAAAGATGGAGGGGAAGGGGGTCTAAATTAGTTAATAGCTGAGAGTGAATTAAGGGGAATTAGGACTAGCTTCGCTTTCCTTGATTTTAAACGCCATATTGTCGCATGAATATTTGAATCTAACATAGAACAACTGAGGTGTAAAGGACCTCTCTGACACACCTTAATGACTGGGCTTATATTTTTTAAGATGGATTATGGGGAAGACTTTATTTCTTCCTTCTAATGGATGCTAAGACAATTTATAAAAATCGAAAAAGAAAAATTATAACATGCAGTTTCCATCATGGTGGCAATCATTTAGAGAAAATACTTTTTTATGCAAGTAAGGCTTGATTTAGTAGTAACTCTCCCAATTCTTCTTTCTCTTTGCTTGGCTCAACTGGAAGCTGCTCTTTGTCTGTCTGCTCTGAGAGGTTGTTGTTGACAGAATCCATAGTTTCTAGAGTCGCTGTACCCTTTGTTTCTGGCAGCAAGACGCACAGACCCGCGCAGACGAAAGCAAGCACTGCCACGATGGAGTATGGCAAGAGAATGTGAATACGCATCTATTGATAGAATAAAAACGAAGTTGGCGGGTTTTACGTTTGAGCTCGATCCGAGAAGTTTTCCTTGACACGGGAATTGGTACATATCTCTGCTTAACGATGAGCGCAAGCTAGCGAAAATCGCAGCGATCACTACCACATAGGAGTGCGGCAAGATGATCTGGACTTACCGCCGTTTTCCATAATCAAAGTGAATTTGTCACTGAATTTTACTAATGGAGAACTTGTCGAGGGGACCGTGCGGTAGGATTTTTTGCATACTGAAAAATCTCACAAAAATGTGTAAAGGTCCTTTATTTCCTATCGAAGATATTTTTGCCCCCAACAATAAAATTGATTTGAATCAAGTTACATACCAGCCAAACAACATAAGGCGCCGACATGGATCCAATACGAGCTGCTGCAGACGAGGTTCCCATTCCAACATTCCTAAGGCATAGGGAGAATTGGACGAGAAGTTAAGTAATGCATACCATACCCAAGCCACTTTTCTTTGGACGGTCTTTTAAGAGAATTGTAAGAGGCACAAAATTATTCCTTCCCGAAGAAGTTGGGTTAATCATCCAACCAGTCAGTCAGTAGGCGAGTGAATAAGTCAGGTAATAGGTCATTTTAGTGAGTCAGGGCGATTTAAGTAGTCAGACATGACCGGTCAGTCATAATAAATTTCTGTCCGTGAGCCATTCACCTGTCACTCCGTCAGTCCAAGTCCGTCAGTCCGTCAGTCGTCAATCCGTCCATCGGTCTGTCAGTCCGCCGGTTGCGTTCGTTGGTCCGTCAGTCCGTCGGTTCGTCAATCGTCATTCAGTCAGTCAGTCATTTAGCCATTAAAATTTGTCTATTTTTCAACAAGTAAGTCGCTGAAATAGTCAATCATCATGAAAGTCGTGCAGTGAATCAGTCAGTGAGATAGTCAGTCAGTCAGTCAGTCAGTCAGTCAGTAAGATAGTCAGTCAGTAAGACAGTCTTTCAGGGAGACAGTCAGTCAGTAAGAGAGCGAGTAAGTCAGCAAGAGAGTAATTTAATCAGTCGGTTAGTCGGTCAGTAAGACGGTGAGTCAGTCAGTAACACAGTCAGTCAGTCAGTTGGTCATTGATGACCAATAGGTCAGTCAGTAATTCAGCCAGTCTGTAAGCAAGTTGGTCAGCGAGTCAGTCAGACAGACAGTCCATCAGTCGCTTATAGATTCACTTGTTGTCAATCATGAAAAAAGACACGAAAAAGAGTTGAGTTGGTGGGCAGGAAGGTGGAAGATCCATATTCAAATTGCTGAGAACGAAGCAGTGCGTGTGGTTACGTTTATTTCTTGCCTTAGGAAAATGGCATAATGCAGAAAAGTTTGAAATAAAAAAATACCTGACAACGGTCGGGAAGAGCTCGCTTGAGTAGACATAGATTGAACTGAACGACATGTTGATAAAAAACTTCGCCACCCCTTGTGCCATAATTATGTTTGCCACCATGAAACCTGAAAAACAGAGCAATGATATTAAAAAAAGTATTTTGCAGCCGACATCCTAAATAATTCAAGATGGTACTTGCTTTAATTTGGTAATGTAATGATCATTAGTTCCCCTTTTTCGTATTAGTTTGTTTACAACTAACCTTTATTATGTCGATACATTAACCAGCGATTCTTTGTCTAAGTACTGATGGCTGAGTCTAGCTGCATTCATTTTTCGTTTCCCTTAACGTAATTGCAATTTTTGTGACCCCAACAACAGAACCAGCGCTACAATAACTGACAATGACGTAAAAGAGAGGTTTACCGGTGTTCTTCAGATCTCTCTGGAAAAAGACTGCAATCAAAGAAGCAAAGAAAGACACCACCACTCCAATAACTGTGCTTTTCTTCCGGCCAATCCTGTAACAAATGTTCGTTTAGAGGAATCATACTCACGGCTTGAATTGCCCAATACTCCGAACGAAAAAACGTAAAGAGAAAAATGACTCCTCACAAGTTTTAGATATTCCTTGTTTACGTTTTGTTGGTTCAAAGAAAAAAAAAGGTCAACCGTACTGCTAGGTTCGGAACGAGTCGCAACCCGAATCGAGCCTTCCTTCCCTTTTTGCTAGGAGCATGGGACTTTTCCCTCTCCAGCTATTGTCGCCACTTTGCAAAAACTGAACAAAAAAAGTTTATTCTGTCGTCAGGCATGGGTTGACTTTGGTTGAGAACCAAATGATAAAAAATTATTGGATGACTTTGAGTACGATATCATGAATTATCACTGTGGAGATTTGAGTTATCTGTCAAAGCCGAATGCTATAGCAGATAACTCAGATACGTGGTTTGATAATTCATGATATCATGTAAAAACAAAATTCGATAAATGTTGTATTATACACTTATTTGAGCAATCTGCACGCGGATAGACTTTTCTCTGAGTTTGCAAAAGTTTGAGAACACTACACGGACGAGAGGCTTGGAAACCAGGCAGACTCTGAACTCGACATGATAAGCATTATGGGTTGTCATGTCAATTTCACACGCTACCACATGTTCTCGACCAATCAGAGTTTTCATAGTAAGTCTAATGTAAGATAATGATACTTATTTCACATTTACCCATGTTCTGAGAGGACACGAATTCCTGTCTGAGTAGTCTTGTACGCTTGAAAGATAATCAGTCAACGTAATAAGGTGGATAAAAACCTCCCTTCTCTACCCCCCTCCTACCTGTGGTTCAGTTTAATGCAAGTCCAGTTGGACGGAATTTCAATGAGGCTGGTCAAGAAGAAAACCAGGTAACGGTTGCCACCATAATCTCCTGCACTGAATGAAACAGCATAGTAAACCAACGCTATGACCATCCTACGGAAATAATGTGAACCAGTTTTAGCTGACGCAGATTGAGCATCAACATGTGACAAAATGTTAATTGCAATAGTTTTAGGCAGTCTCGACGAGGAAATTTCTGTGAGAAGCAATGTTCCGACATTTGACGTCCTACAGACTCACCAGGCAAACCATAATATCAGAGTTCTTTTTGTCATAGCCATTGAGCTGAAAAGGTCCCGGACATCTCCCTGTCTCTGGGTTAAGTTGGCATCTGTCTGTTCTAGGTCACCTTCAGGCATCTGTTTTCGATTAAAGTCAGCAACTTTTTGAAGATTTTCCCTGGCCTCTTTGGGTCTGTTATGCGCCAAGAGCCAGCGAGGTGACTCTGGCAGAAACCTAAGGTTAACAGTTGTGCGTAACAGAAGTTAGAGAACTAAGCAGGATCAACCACAAGATATTTCTTTTCTATAGAATCTTGTATTGAAATAAGTTGAGTTATTATCTATTTTCTTCATATTTTTTTTCATAAATGTGCCTATGCCATGAAGATGTTCATGACACATTTATCCATTCCGACCAGTGAAGGATCCACGGCGAGGGTCTAAGGGGTTAAACAAACTCTCCCCCCCCCTCTCATCGGAAATGAGGGTATTTTACCACCTGGCTGAAACCAAACTTCTCCCAACGACAGGATCGCATATTATTACTTAGCTTGAAGTATTTCGTAGCTTATTTGGGCTCCATTGCAAAAAAAAAAAATTGTAATAATAAAATTGTTTTCTTAATCAAAGTGCGAACCTCCCGTCAGAAATCTCTGGATCCGCGCTTTCAATTCCCGGAAGTGGTTCCCATGCTACTCCTCCCGACTTGATTACGTCATCCAGCGAATAAGCAACGAGAATTGAAACAGTCTCAATCGTTAAAGGGTTTAATTAAAGCTGTACAGGTATCCCCATGTTATTATCTTAACTGATGCATGAGAAGGTAAATAGCAGCTACATAGGAAATTTCGATTTTAAACAGTCATGAAGGTTTTACCGCAAGCTCTGCATCATAGACAGCGAGGTTAGTCCCTATTAGGTTCGGTCGATATCATGATACAATGTACTTGCTTACCACCAGAAGAAAATCGTTAATAGTCCTGGTATAGCCGCGGCCATAGCAAGTGTGCGCCAGTCCCTTATCAGCCAAGCAAATAAAGCCAGAACCATTAGCGACAGAATCCAGAAGTAAAATAAAGTGGTTCCGATCACGTGACGATGACGCTTGCCAACGTACTCAAACACGAGCACATACATCGCCAGAGCTGAACTACCTGTTGAGAATAATATCCAAAGCTCCGTTGTTATAATCTTCATTTGGTTTTTTTTCTTTTTCTTGCATTATTTCGTCTGAAAGCGGTATGAATGCCAATGGAAAATCAGTTTATGATAAAAAAGATCCTCGGCATTTTATCAAGGACTCTAAATCTGTTACCTTTCTTTTCCAAATTCACAGATAGAAAGTTTTTCAGTTGTTATGTAATTTTTAAACATCCTTCCGCGGGTTCTCGCGTGATTATATTTAGATTGATAACTATGGCCGTCTTCGTTCAAAAATGCGAGAAAAGTTCAGAAATACAGAGGCGGTCGTTTTATTTCCTTTGGGTTAATTAAGGCCAAGTTATTTATCTGATGGGTTATTAGTCGTATCGTTTACCTCCTTTTACCTTGGATATACGGCGAATAATCACTTACCTACGCCTATACCAATCAGCACTCTGCAGAGCACATAGAGCCAGTAGATTTTAATGAAAGCAGCAGCTAAGGCGAACACGTTCGTTAGGACTGTAAGCCAATAAACAATGGGTTTGCGTCCGAATTTGTCTGATAAAACGCCTCCAAAGAGAACTCCGATCATATAACCCAAGAACATAAGTGCTTTGGTCAGGACCGATAATGCTGATACGTTACAAACTAGGTCCCACTGAGAGAAAATCGAAATGATTTAAGTGATTTAGTGTATGCGCTCATTTGTCTTTTTTCGCATGTAATGAAAATGAGTGAAGTGTTAATTCCTTCCAAAAACTAATAACTTATCAGTGGAATCAGTCGTCACCAACGTAGTAGAAAGGGGCCGAGAAGTTTAGAAACTTGACTGCCAATTAACTGCCAATAAAGGGGGGGGGGGGGCAATAAGAACAACACAGAATCTTAGAGATGGATCAGGGAAACAGAACCAAAATCCTCTGCACGAGCGCGGGAAAACCGTGGGGAGTGACGCTGAATTCAAACTGAGTTTATTGTTCGTACCTCAGCCACGGTGGAGGTAAAATCGCTAGTGTCAAATTCCCAATCATCCCGAGGAATGGAACAACGGTAGCTGTAATTTTCGTCTCCTGGCTTGAAAATTCCGGTCAGATTACACGCAGAACTGTTTGCTTTACAACGCCACGGCGGTTCAACGCTGAGAAAGGTTGGAAGCATCATCTGGAGACCATCAGACCAGGTCTTGATGAAACCGCAGATCAGCAAAAGCCTGTACTGAAATCGGTTGTAACTGCCTATCTTTTCCATGACATCATCAACAGTGATACCCATGATTTCTTCCTGTAAGGAGCCCTTTGTTGAGAAAAAAATCAAAACTCACGAGCGCAAAGCACTTAAGAGCTAATGTCAGCATGCGTCAAACAAACAGCGGGAAGTCACCCAAATTTGTTTTCACCCCTACTTTCACATTTTGTAGCCCAATATGTTCTAATAACTGTGGAGTAGTTTTTTTTGTAAAAATTTATTTTAGTTTTCGAGAAATAATTTTTTTTGTTCGACCGCTCAAATATGCAAATTTTCACCGTGGATATTACCCGAGTTGTGTGACCTCATGTAACGAACGTACTAGACCTACGGTATTTCTGTGAACATGATCCTTTGTTTTATCATCTAAACTTAATCCCTTGTCGTTATTGAAGCTGGCAGAGAAATATTTATTTTTTGGTGAATATTTTTGTCCGACATATTTTTCCTATGTCGAAAAGTAGCATCAAAACAAAGACAGTTTTAACAATGACCGATATGACAAAATCTACTGAGCTTCAAGCTTTTATAAGACAAAAGGATGGTTATAAAGTTACTGTAAAAATTTCCTCGTGTATTTGTGTTGTTCTATCTTGAGACGAACTCAAAGTCCGGCAAAATTTACTTGATAGCAACCGGAGCATATTCCAACCTATTCAGACAAAGAAAGTCGTAGTGAATTGTCTTTTGTTTCTACATTGATTGAGGGTAACCTACAGACTGTTAATGCGGCAAGAGATAATCAGGTAAAAATTTGCAAGTTTTTCGAAATTAATCATAAGACTAAATTTTCAAGTCACCAAAAGCATATGTGGAATAAGTCATATTTAGACCTGTGTTTAGGATAATAAGTGACGGAATGATCTCTTTGGCTGACTACACTCCGCAAGGTGTTCGCTGAACATTCCAGGACATCCGATAATCGCTCTAAAAAAGTTAATAAAGCTCCCCTCGAATAAAATGGAAACAACCGTAATTTCCGATGATTATATTTCTAATCATTTTCAAGATACAACTCTACTTTGTTCGCTCATTTTCCAGAAACAAGAGTCCAGAGAAACGCCTCTACCGGTCTAATTCGAAAAAACCTAAGGGGCGGTACGCTAAGTTTATTTTCTCTGTAG